GCTGGACTTCATCCGTGCCCAGGATGGACTCACTGGAACGAAGCTGGGCTGTGGCGAGGGCGGCTGTGGTGCCTGTACAGTGGTGTTGCAGACACGACATCCTCGCAGTCGACGACTAGTGCACCGGGCAGTAAATGCTTGTCTGTATCCGCTGGTCGGAGGTGGGTACTTTCCAGCTTGAATTTCGACCATGGCTCGTACTGATCGTTCCGTGGAATGTTGCAGTGGTAGGGAAGCATGTTATTACCGTCGAGGGCTTAGGAAATGTTGATCACCCGCACCCTCTGCAAGAACGTCTGGCGAAGCTCCATGGCTCCCAGTAAGGCTGTTTCCGCATTTGTTTAGCCATGACCTAATCATTGCAGGTGCGGGTTTTGTACCCCCGGTATCGTCATGTCGCTGTATGCTGTCATCCGCAACGCGTACGACCCGCAGACCGATACCTTCCAGCTCTCCGAAGATGACATTGAAATGAAAGGCCATCTCGATGGCAACTTGTGTCGGTGCACTGGATACAAACCAATTCTTCAGGCGGCCAAGACATTTGTTCGCGAGGACCTCCAGGCGCGTCTAGAGTCTGTGGTTACCACTACCACGGACAGAACGGACGAAACAGTCGATTTGCCGGTACTTCCGGCCCAGTCATGCGGTCGACCTGGCGGTTGCTGTCGCGATAGCCCTTCATCGTCTTCGTGCTCATCGAGCTCGACTAAGGCCAATTCGTCTCCGCTGACAACGCCAGAGGAGAAAACTCCATCAATCCCACAGTTTGACTTCATTCCGTATGTGCCACGCACGGAGCTGATCTACCCTCCCGGCCTGGCGAGTTTTAAGCCGCAGTTGCTTCATTATGCAGACGATCGGAGAATCTGGGTTCGTCCGGTCACCCTTGGGCAGACCCTGGATGTCTTGGCGCGCTTTCCATCCGCCACGCTGGTCGGGGGTGCGTCCGAGGTTCAAATTGATGTTCGCTTCAAGAACCTTGCGGTCGATGTGTCGATCTTCATCGGGGATATCGAAGAGTTAGCTCAAATCAACCTGGTTGAACATGACAATGGTGCAAAGGAGCTGATAATCGGTGGGAATGCTTCCCTCACTGATGTGGAGGAAGAATGCCAGCGCCTCGCCCCGATCCTGGGTTCTTCCGGCTCAGTACTATCGGCCATGGCTAAGGTGCTGCGGTACTTTGCTGGGCGACAGATCCGCAACGCAGCCTCGCTGGCGGGCAACATTGCCACGGCCTCGCCCATCTCAGACATGAACCCGCTCCTTCTCGCAGTGAACGCCACAGTTGTTGTGCGCACCCACCAGGAAGAGCAAGCCCTGGCCATGGAGGAAATGTTCCTGGGCTATCGTGAAACTGCCCTCCCAAAGGGCAGCCTAATCACTGAAATCCGCGTTCCATTGCCTTCTTCGGCATGTCGCGAGATCACGAAATCATACAAGCAAGCCAAGCGAAAAGATGATGACATCGCCATCGTGACTGCCGCCTTCCGTGTCCGTTTGTCAAGTGACAACACCGTCGAAGATGCTTCTCTCGCGTACGGCGGAATGGCACCGACAACTGTACTCGCCCACAGAGCCAGTGCCACCCTCAAAGGCAAGAAATGGGGAACGCAGGCAGTTCTTGACGCGACGGTGGATGCACTTCTCGCGGACTTTGATCTTGCGTTCAGCGTTCCGGGTGGGATGGCAACTTACCGCCGCACGCTGGCTGTTTCCTTCTTCTTCCGTTTCTGGCAGGAGATTATAGCAGACTATCAACTCGTCGCTCCTATCCCCTCCGACCTGACAGACGAGATCCACCGCAAGATCTCTTACGGTGCCCGGGACGATATCAATCCGCATGAGCAGCGGGTGGTGGGAAAGGCACTCCCTCACCTCTCCGGGCTCAAACATACCACCGGTGAGGCAGAATACCTCGATGACATGCCACCCCAACACCGGCAGTTATTCGGAGCATTGGTTCTCTCGCAACGTGCGCATGCCAAACTTGTTTCCGTTGACTGGACACCCGCCCTTGGGCCAGGACTAGCGAACGGCTACATCGACTACACTAGCATTCCCATCGAAAAGAATCTATGGGGATCGGTGGTACACGATGAACCTTTCTTTGCAATCGATGAAGTGCTGTCGCACGGCCAGCCGATCGGGATGGTGTATGCCGAGACGGCTATTCAGGCTCAGACAGCTGCAAAAGCCGTCAAGGTCGAATATGAAGATCTCCCGGCTATTATCACGATTGATGAAGCGATCGCAGCAAAGAGTTTCTTCCCACATGGCAAAGAACTGCGGAAGGGGGCGCCGCCGGAGAAAATGGACGACGTACTCCGCGGATGCGACAAAACCTTTTCCGGTATAACACGGATAGGGGGTCAGGAGCATTTCTATCTCGAGACGAATGCTGCAATGGCGATCCCCAGCACAGAGGATGGTGGGATGGAAATCTGGTCGTCAACGCAGAATACGTATGTTGGCCAGCCCACTCACACCCTTCCGCAAAACGTCCGATGAGCATGCTAACATTGTTCTAGTATGGAAACTCAGGATTTTGTCAGTCAAGTAACAGAAGTTCCTGCCAATCGAATCAATGCACGAGTCAAACGAATGGGTGGCGCTTTTGGAGGAAAAGAATCCCGAAGCGTGCAATTAGCTTGCCTGGTAGCCATTGCAGCCAAGAAAACCCGCCGACCGGTGCGAGCGATGCTTCCCCGGGACGAGGACATGATGACTACCGGACAGCGACATCCGGTTCAGTGTCGGTGGAAGGTTGGTGTCACCAATGAAGGAAAGCTTATCGCGTTATCTGCCGACTGTTACAATAACGCAGGCTGGTCCACTGACATGAGTGGGGCGGTGATGGACCGCTGCTGTACGCATCTGGACAATTGCTATGAGATCCCGAATGTGCATATCCGGGGGTGGGTGTGTCGAACCAATACCCATAGCAACACGGCGTTCCGTGGCTTCGGTGCTCCGCAAAGCATGTTTTTCACAGAGACGATTATGAACACGATCGCCGAAGGGCTGAAGATCTCTGTGGATGAGTTGCGGAGACGTAACCTGTATGCTATCGGACAGCGTACACCCTTTCTGCAGCAGATTGATGAAGATTGGCATGTGCCCATGCTTTTAGAACAAGTGCGAAAGGAGGCCAGATATGACGAGCGGAGAGAGCAAATTGCAAGGTTCAATGCCACACATCACTGGCGCAAACGGGGTATCTGCTTGATTCCGAGCAAATTCGGGATATCGTTCGCCACAGCTTTACACCTGAATCAGGCTGCCGCATCAGTCAAGATCTATACTGATGGATCAGTGCTGCTTAACCATGGTGGGACGGAAATGGGTCAAGGCCTGTATACGAAAATGGCGCAGGTGGCGGCGCAGGCTCTTGGGATCCCGTTTGAAAGTGTCTTTACGCAAGATACTTCGTCTTATCAGACGGCCAATGCCTCACCAACAGCCGCGTCCTCGGGCAGCGATCTGAACGGCATGGCAATTCAAGATGCCTGTGACCAGCTGAACGAACGGCTGAAGCCGTACCGGGAGCGATTTGGTCCCGACGCGACGATGGCGCAGATGGCGCACGCAGCGTATCGTGATCGAGTCAATTTAGCGGCCAGCGGATTTTGGAAAATGCCTAAAATCGGCTATCAGTGGGGAAACTATGATGTTGCAACGGTGAAGCCAATGTACTACTATTTCACGCAGGGAGTAGCATGCACTGAAGTCGAGTTGGACTTGCTAACGGGCGATCACACGGTGCTGCGGACGGATATCAAGATGGATGTCGGACGCTCGATCAATCCGGCCATCGACTATGGGCAAATCGAGGGGGCTTTCGTGCAGGGCCAAGGCCTTTTCACAATGGAAGAGAGTCTGTGGACCCGCGGTGGGCAGCTGGCGACGCGAGGTCCTGGGACGTACAAGATCCCTGGCTTCAGCGACATCCCGCAGGAGTTCAATGTGAGTTTCTTGCAGGGGGTGTCGTGGTCCCACCTGCGCTCGATTCAGTCAAGCAAGGGTATTGGAGAGCCGCCTCTCTTTCTGGGGTCGACCGTACTGTTTGCACTCCGCGACGCATTGCGTAGTGCCCGTGAGCAGAATGGCGTGCGGGAGGCACTGGTGCTTGACAGCCCGGCCACGGCGGAGAAGCTGCGGTTGTTGGTGGGAGATGACTTGGTGAAGAAGAGTCAGGTTGAGGCGAAAGAGGGCGAGACAAACTTTTTCGTCGCGGTCGCGTAGTATGTGAAGGCGATGTAGTCGATTCGATCTGTGTATTTAGCATCGCAAGTCAGCATAGTAGGTCAGGCAGCTAATGATATGTCGATGACTAGACAGGTCTCTACGTGATTCTTGGAATGGAGGTCTCTGCACAGACAGCAAGGCTTATCCTGCAGATTAAAAAGATAGAAGAGACTGTTTTGAACTCGATTTGTCGATCTTGTTGTTGTTGTTGATTGGGGACACTAGCTGACTTGATGGGAAGTGAACGGCCACGGCATCACGTGGCCAGGCTCCATGGCGAGGGATATAGTATATAGTGTAAATGTGAGGAGAGACTGAGCTATAACAGAAGAAAGACTCCACACTATGCCCAGACTGTGGTAACAATTTAAACCGATTCACAGACAACCGGTTGGGGCCAACTTTCAGCTGCAATGGCAGCCACCGGTACTTGGACCCTTCACAAAATCTGGGAAACCACTGCGTGGAGAACAAGATGAATCGCTCGGCTAGTTTCTCTTTCTTGTCACACTTCTCCTGACTAGAACCGACTAGATTCATTGCCAGGGGAATTCCGGTCAAACCAGCCGACAGGTTGACTGAAATCAAGCCTCCCCATTGGTTAACTGGGAGGAGTGCGGACAGTATTTGAGAATAGGGTCCACAGTGGCTCGTATCTGATGAACTATTTGATCTCCTGGGTTCCCCCACCGGCAAGGCATTGAGGGAATCGGACCTCTTCATCTCACTGACAACCGTTCTTTCGCAAGATGGTTCGACTTTTGAGCCCGACCTTGGTTCTCCTCGCTGCCCTGCAGTTGAGTGGAGCCAGCCCATCAGTTGTGACCCTCACCTCGAGCTATACCAGCACCGCGATAACGACTATCACCACCTCCATCCCGAGTGTCTCCATCACCAGCACCTGCAGCGTGGGTACGGTCGCACCGACGGGATGTGCCAATACCATCTGGTATGATGCAGGGAACTACTGGTCGGCCACTTGCACTACCTCCGCCTACAGTGCCAGTACCACCAAGATGACCTACTCCTGGGTCAGCGTCTCCCAATGCGCCGATGTGTGCACCCACTACAGCAACTGCGCGGGTGTCAACTGGGACGACAGCGAGACTTGCCGGATCCTCGCCGGGTCGCTGGAATTGGTGCCAGCTGCGAGCAGTGTTTTGGCCGCCGAGCTCTTTCTTTTCAACCCCTGTACCTCGCGAGTGACCTCGTATGTTCCGGAGACTTTGACGCGCACCTCGACTACCGAGCATACATCCTTGATTGTCTCGACCATCACTCCTACTCCCAATCCGACACCCACCCCCACTTCCACATCATCCTCTTCGGCGCATCTCATACCATCCTCGTCAAGCTCTCCGGTTCTCTCACCAGCCACATCAGCGCGTCAGAGCTCCTCAGCTCCCGCCACTCTTCCCCACTCATCCGGAAGCCCCTCGGCGACTCCTTCATCCATTGCCAGCACCAGATCCTCCGCAATTATCTCCCCTATCACCAGCGCTGCGCCCACACCATCCAGTGCGACGGATGAAATTGAAACGCTGTATTCCACCATCTACACCACCGAATTGGTGACCTTTTTCACGGAGTGTGCGTTCTGATCGACGGTCAATCATTGTACATCACCATTCCTCGAAGGACGAGCTTCCTTGTATATACCGGACAGATTATATATGCGCAGCAGGGATCGAGGTATCCCAGGTTAAGAGCATCTGGCGATGTCAATTATCTTTGATTCATTGTCTACAATATAACAATTCATCTGCCTGTGCACTTTGCTCTATGCATGTATGGTATGGAATAGAAACCCGAAGATCACCTTTATGCGGTCCAGATCATGATATAACAGCAAATCATTTCTATGACGACCGAACAATTCGTAACGTGTGATTTCATGCAATGAACACGTGGTAAATCTTTCTTCGTGCCGAGAAGTGATTTGGTGGGAGTCCTGGCAAGACCTAGAACTGAGCATACTCGGACAGGTGAGTCAGTGCTTGATTAGATATGAACATCTTCTCGAGCTTGACACTTACAATTACTGACAATCAGAAGAAAGACTCGCTCGAAGGACTTGCTCCAAGATGATCAGAAGGAGTGATGGTCTTGCAGCGCGTCGTGCTTTTGCTGTGTGGAAATGACCAAGAATCCAACATCAGGGACTCAACTTTGTGCGGAAAGCAGATGAGACTGATAGACTGATTTGAAGACGCGATGTTGAAGAAGTGAAGAGGTCGGAGGGGCTAGGTAGAAGGGAAGCCGATCATGGGTTCACAGTATTTGCTGAAAGCAAGGCACCTCACCACGAAGTCGCTTGCTTAGACTGCCTGAGTCGGCTTTCAATGCTGTTTCTCTCAGTGTATCTTGCATGAGCCGCGGCCTAGTTGTGAGGAGGTTGGGGCTATGAAAGCTGTCTTGTAAGCCTGGCCAGGCTCGAACCACACCGCGGATTCATCTCTCCAGATCAGCCGCTATCAGATGAGACTGTGCGACGGACCAACTTGATGTCACGAGCATCGGCACCCACCACACCTACGTCTTTTCACCGACCTGGAACACTCACGACAATGATTGACAAATTGAAGGCATATCCATGGTTGACTATCCAATCGTTCTTGGAATTTATATCGAGCGAAAAATCGATCTAAAGTTTGCAAAGGTGGCATAGTCAAGATTCATAGTCATTGAGGCCCATTCACCGGAAACGGTATTCCTTTACACTGGACTTATTACCTGTATGTGAATGAATTGCATCAATCGATATATAATGTCTTATCATTTCGTTATGCTAATAAAGTCTCCCCAGCACACATTGTAGGCAATCTTATTGTCGCGGTTACCTCAGTCGCGCAATGTCCATGATGCCCCTGCTCCGATCGCCGGAACTCCTCGCCGATGATGCCTGTCCTGCCCTCAATCCGACAGTTATTCGTACAACGAACGCGAGATTTTCTCCTCATTACACCCTGGGAAGCCCTCACTCATTCAATACGACACGCCTACACATCGGAATGGAACGATAAGGGCCAACTCAGCCCAATTGATTTGTCTTATCAAGCGGCTCTACACTGATAAACGACACCCCACATGGTCTCAATACGCTCGATACAATCTCGAATCAAACATTATCGTCATTTCCTGCTGGATACCAGCTGTACCGATTCCAGAAATTTATATCGTTTAATTGCACGAGCCGTACAGTACATATAGTCCACCGATGTCTATGTAACAAGTCTTAAGAAAACTTTTATGTGACCACAAAGCTACGTCTCCATATATGTTAGAAGGCGGACAGGACTTAGCTATTGTTTGGTTCGAATCCAGCATGATCACATTAGTCAAGTTAGCCATTGATAATCTCTCGATATCGCGTCTCTTCACGTCAAATATTATTGATCACCACTTGTTACTTTCACTCTCGTTCTCTGTGTTTCGTGCCCTGATTGCCTGCAAACTGTTGTCAATGTAAGCGACTCTCTTCAAGTACTGATGAAATGCCTGCGTTGACTGCATGGCTTGGAAGACGTCATTGCCCCATTTGTATCCCTCTGTGAAGGACGTGAATGATGGATGAATTCAGAATATATGAGACTATCTATGAGGACCATTAACATGCGTGGCGGGCGGTGAGCGGCCTGGGGCACAAGGCCAGAGGCCCGCCGGCATCGCCCATAGTCTTCCTGGCACCATCATACAGATCTCTGCGACATTTGAGACAGGATAGTCTTGTTATTCCATCCTAGACAGTGAGTGTCCACCTCTCGGGGCGAGTTACCTTGCATCCTTCACATTTGAAATCGGGCAAATCCTTAACCTGTCTCCAGACTATAGGCAGTACACGATGCTTTTGTTTCGCCAGTATAATCCTGTATCCGCCGGCCTGTGCAAATCGGGGTCTAAATCTTCTTCCAACGCGTCGGCCGTGCCACTCGTCGCCAATATTCGATGAAGAATCCGCTGAAGTTGAAGTAATCTTTACTAACGGCAAAGAAAGATTGACCGGGTTGGTCGTATGCAAAGTGAAAATATTGCCAGACTGGAGCTTTTTGGCTGATTCCAGTTTGTATAACTTTGCGCTCGAAACACGGTCCTTGGTGCTAGATGTTAGACCAAGGCTAACAGGCGATGGACAACAATTCCAAATGTCATGTTGTATCGTAGGCCATTCCTTGCACTCTTGTTTGAGTCGGGATGTGCAGGATCCCACCCGCAATGCACATACGCGGTCGTCTCTTGCTTTATTTGACTTGTTTCGCTTTTTTCTGCTGGGCAACCATTTTACATGAGCTGTGATTATACCAATACTAGTCACAGCGTTTGCACCACATCTCGGACTTCTCATCTGGCTCGAGTGGGTTCCAGTAGATCTGAACACTCTCCGGGATTGCTTTACCACATTTGGAATAACGTCTGTCGACCTTGGGCTTGACCTTGGGCATCCCAAATGATCAGTCGGTCCACCCAATTCGGTGGAGGCAGTTGATTATCTCAATTATATCGGCCCATGCATCCTAGGCAAATATACTCACCCCCGCGGCCCTCTTCAATGTGTGCTGCGGATCTTCCAAATGGATGTCGAGACCACAATGGACACATTCGGACCTCGCTTCCTTGTCAATGCGTTTTGCACCCGCTTCTTGCTCTCGGAAGTCTGGGGGAGGAAGGCACTGATTATTCTTGTATCGATAGTCACAGCTGCCGCATATCTTTTCGAATATATGCCCTGGTAGTGGGTGCGGCAAGATGTGCCACTGATTTAGCGGCCGCCGACAGTTGGCACAATGCGTTGCCCGACGGCGTCCGCGTAGAGGCCGAGAGATAGGTAATGCCCTGTTAAGAGGCTCAAAGGCACTTGAGATGGTAAATTCCCCTAGATCAGCAACAAACCTCTCAATACTAGGGCCATGGAAACCACTGGGGTAAACGTAGGGAGGCTCAAAGCTTTCCGCCATCACAATCGTGGTGTTCTCGAGTAAAATTATCATCCGATCCGCATCTTCGAGGTTTATTTCCGAATCCACGGATTTTGGAAACTGAGCAACTAGCCGAACATTTGGTCGTCGGTTAGGTCTTGCACGAATATACCTATAATGTATCGACTTCACCTTTTCATATCGAATCGAACTTCGGTGTGACACTATTCGCGCATGAACACCTCCTGGCCGCGTGTGCATCTGCCCTTTTTTATCCACCCACTTCTTTGGAACTGACACTGCAGACCCAACGTAAAGGCCATTGTCTTTCTGAACCCGGGTATTCGTGACAAGGTCCAGATAGACTCCTTTGGGCTGATCTTTCGTCATGACAATTGGCAGAAGAAGCACTTCATTTCGAGTTAGTTCTGTACCACCAAATATTGTAAGTACCACTGGAAAGATTGCCCGTTTAATCTTATTAACCACTTCGTCGATCTTCTCTTCCGATGTGTTAGCTAAGATAGACCACATTGGTTGGACAAACGGGCTGTTGTTGGCCAATTTTCCAGCGGGGTCTGGCGTGCTAGAGTCCAGGTATGTCGAATAATATCCTCGAGTCGGTACCTAAATATGATCTGTCGTGCCTCGAAATCATCCGGTTAAGCACTCGATAAACATATTTCTCATGGGATTCATTGGGACAACGTCGGGGGAACTCATCAATATCCAGCGGCTCACTGTCAACATCTTCTCCATAGCTTTCTTGGTTGTCGCCGCAATATGGTGTTCCATGCGGTGGGCTTTCTCGGTGTCGGCGAACTGGAAGGCAAGCGCGCACGACAAGGGGCCAAACGACTGGCGGAGGAAGGGGTCCCAGACAACCTCGAGGTCTGTGTCCCAGAATTCGGCCACCCAGCAAAGGATGGCGGCCCACTCCGCGGCACTCCCCAACATGCCCGTAGCCGTCTGGTCCACGTTTAGTCATACCATATAAAAAAAAAAAACTTTTTGCTCACGGGCGCACAATTTGCTTTACGCGCGGCGCATTGTTGGCATTTGATTGACGAAACGGCATCGAAACAGCAGCCTGGCTCAAACTGTTCCCCGGAATCCTGATCGTAATTTCCTCCTCAATGTCTTCCCATTCATTGTCATATTCCTCGGGTCGTTCATTCTCGGAGTCGGTCTCGGAGTCGGTCTCGGAGTCGACGACTTCGTCGTCCTTAAATTCAGAGTCGAACTGGTCACTATCGAGCTCACTCAACTCACCGTCACTCGATTCATCGGCGAACTGCTCCGTTTCGACCTCGGCGGGCGCGCGTTTCTGGGTGTAAATGGACTCACGTCCCTCCTCTGCCTCTCGTCGTCTAGGTCGTGGTGGTGAAGAGGACCAGTCGAAAAACGCTTCTTCGTCATTCGCCACATCTTCAGCGATTGACTTACCTGTACCTCATTGACATCTCACTTCGTTCAACCAGGACGCAACAAACCAGCGTATTTGGATCGCGGACGTGGCTTGCTGGGGATCATGAACCCCCAATCCCAATTTTCCTGGTCTTCAGGGTAGAAAGGATCATACGGCACATGCATGGGCTCGCTCTTACCATGGTCTCGCGTAGGGCTGACTTGGGGTCTCTCCCTTGTACCTGCCGATCTACCAATACCTTGGTTGATTACCTCGTTACGGTCAGCCAGAACAGCACGAGGCTGAGAAGCGGGTGGGGCGCGTGTCTCAATCTGAAACATCTTATCAATCTGTTGGAGACTTTTCTCCACTTGCTGGGTCTTTCCCTTGGTAAGCTTTGCATTCTTGGTACGCTTATTGACCCGGGAACGGGGGGTGGGCGTCTATTCAGTGGATTTGTGGTCGACCCGTTCCCCGAGGTCACCTTATCATCACTTTTGTTCGGTGTTTTGGGGGTGGCTGGCGAGTCTTGCACACCCCCGACAGCTGTGAGCCCCGCATTCATATCTCTATGGCCTATTGGGAGGACCGAAGTTCGTGCTCCAAGCAAGCTGTCTACCACGGGGCCAGTCCCGTCCTGGGTCTGGTTACTCCCCGTGGCTGCGGCCTTTGCAAAAAAGTTGGTGATCATTGTGGAGCTCTATTAAACACATTCAACATTAGTCCCCAGCGAATTGTGATTGAATGGAAAGACTTGCAGACACGTTAGTTGTGGTAGTGGTGGTGATGGCGGCGGTTTATAAAAGCCGCTATCGACATCGCCGGAGCAATAGCATTTCCCAAGAGCATTCCCCAAATTTAAAAAATAATTGCTTTTGATGATAGGTCTGAAGCCGATTCTCGGGCCAATGACACAGCAGACAACAGAGAGCTTGTCCTGACCGACAGTTTGTTGGTGTGAATTTTCGATTGCCTTAACCAATAGCAATGTCATTGCCTTTTGAGATGTATATATTAGTACAGTCAATCTGGTTTGCTGGCCGTAAGGCTTACCTGCTGGATCTGGGCGAGACGTCAGAGTCACCGAGCGCAGTTCTTCATCAGATGGAACTGCAAGTGCAAACACAGCACCAGGCTTTCTTTTATAACGCTCTCAACACCGCTTCAGCACAGGCATAAGATGACTCTGGAATAAGGGCTCACTTACACTGGCATTCCTATAGATGCGACCATGCGTGAGTACACATGCCGCTTGCGCACATGCAACTGCTATTGCTGCTGCAGCTGCAGCTGTTCGAGCTGTCAAGTCCTGTTGTACCTGCAACAGTTGTTGCTAATGCTCAAGATAAGCCCATTATCTAGCCCGTTTCACACATCTCAAGTGATCGATTCTCTTTTCTAAAGGAACAACTGATTAGTATGAATGACCAGGGCGTATCGAGACTGGACCGTGCGTTGGGATATGCTCATCACCGTCAATATACCATTTGGCTTCGTATTTCAGAGGGGTAGCATAACCAGTTCTTCTTCATTTTGCATTCATATACCAAGCAGGCACATACAACTGTTGTTGCAGGCAGGCAGCAGCAGCAGCTGCTTCCGTAAGTGCCACGAAGTAATTGCGATACGCTGATTTTGCCTGAATGAGAGAACAACAGATCAGTATATCGTCCGGGAATCTCTTGGAGGGAAACTTACTTGCCTGCAAGACACAAGGTATTGCTCGAAATGCAAGTGTATCACCCTCTATGTCGCGAAGGGTCTGTACACCTTATGCGCAGAACTAGAGTCTCTCTCGTTGGGAACTCACCTTGCTATGAGGGTCCCGACCAGGTTCCAATTGTGGACCGCACAATTCCATATAAATATAACGCGGCGATATCAGTAACGAACTCTCCTCTTATCAAATGGTTCAGTATATCGATATAGTTACTGCCCCGGAACTTGCAGACGATGCCGCGGTTGCCCTTGCTAAATAGGCATTGGGTCGCTGCGTTTTTGATCATGTCTTTGTTTGTGAGCCCAGATCAAAATATGTAAAGCAACAATTGTCTTCTTGCTGGAGGATACCAGCAATCGGTCGACATATCCGCATTGGCGATTGTTAATCTGCAATCACTGACTAGATGCATGCCTCACCGCCGTTGTCTTTAGCCGGAAAGGTAGCTCCTGCTGCTGTTGCAGCCACGGCATTGCAGAGGGGAATAATTCATCGACGATCCTGACTTCATTGTGCTCCGAAAGAAGCAAACAGGTTTTCTTGGCAAAAGAATAATAAAAAAGAAAAAAAAAGAAAAAAAAAAAAAAAAAAAAAAAAAAGGAAAAACAGTAAGGTATTCAAGAATGGGATTGCACTTCAACGTCAAATCTGCCGAGTCTCAAGACAGTCATTTCGCGCTCTGAGCCAAGTTATCTCCCCGTGCGCGTTGGCCAACATCGGCTGCATATCCCGGGTGAGGGGGGCGGCTGTTGATGCTGCTGTTGCTTTTGACAATTCTTCTGTCACTGCCTTTTGCCAATAAATATCCTAAAAAGAAGAAACAAGTTTCAATCTGGCCGAAAGGGCCCAAAGAAAACAGCACGTCTCAAATAAAAATAAGCACTTGCATGCAGTTTAGTATCTTCAACCTCAAAGTCGAAGTCTTCCTTTTCTTCCTCTCATTTGAATGTGCCTCCAAATTCTCATTTCTGGCGCGCGGCTGTGTTATCTTCTGCTGCATTTGGTCCAGCACCTGCATCCAGCATCTACTGGACATTCCGCGACCGGCTCCTGCTGTTGCTCTTGGTAAACAACAACAATAAAAGAGAAAAATAAAAAAAGCAAAAAGTTGGGAAAAGAACAAAAAACAACGCTATTCATTGGACTGAGTATTGATATGAGTATCGATCTCAATGTCGGAATTTCATCTATGTCTCCATCTTCTTTTCTTTCGAATCATGATCTGTGGATATAATCGCACTAAGCAAAAGCTCCATCTGATGCAGCTGCAGCTGCTGTTAGGGGGCATATCTGCTCAACAACCAATCACAACCTTTTGTCGCTTATTGTATCCATAGTAGTAGGACTGGGCCTTGATAGAATGACTTTCCTTTTCCAAGACGGAATTCGAGTCGGGCTTCCCAGAATCAGGCTGGTTATGTGTGCAACCTCGCACATTCTTTGGCAAATTGGGGCCAAACGCCTCGGCTTCAGCTGATCGCTTAGAGAAAGTCGTCAATTTTAGCACCTATCTTGGGATATGAAGAGCCCTGAGATGAGTAGGGATGTCTCTTCATGCTGCATAGTCACACATTCAGTCTTGTTGTGAGCGAAGCTATCTCACGGATGCTCCCCGCTGTTGCTGCTGCTGCTGCTGCTGCTGCTGCGTAGCACAGCTTCGCGAGCGATTCTCTTCGGCAGGAGCTCGACCCTATTAGAAGTATCAATCAACATATGCAATAATCTGCTTTGGAGTGGGGAAAAACTTACTTCAGCCATTGCGAAGAGGTATCGATGATACCGGAGGTAATCTATCTTAATATGCCCTGGAGTCTGACAATGGAAGTAGCGGACTTTCTAGGATATATTAGTATACTACTGAGAACATCGTGATGCAGACTGACGTTCACACCACCGGCATGGTGGCGGTTGTCGTTGTTGTTGCTGCTGCCGCTGCCGGCTTCTCTCGAAACCATCTCTCAATCTGAGTTATCCCTTACGATGACCGAAATTAGTATACACAACAAATGGAAAAGCTCAATTGGAGTGACTTACACGTTGCTGCAAGCCCTGGTCTCGATGAGCCATGGGACAATCCGCCTTCTTATGATGAAGGAAACTGCACATATAGCACGCCTTAATTCAAGTGTCAGCACACACGCCCCTTCTGTGACCGAAACTGCAGATAATGCAAGAGAAAAGATTACTTACAGCAAACTTCTTCGGCTGATGACGATCATCGTCATCGCGGCCCACTGGCCCAGGTCGATAAATGGACCCCGATCAGGGTTGCGCAGATAACTTGAACCCGTAATGTAGACAGCCATTATCTCCCGTCTGAATGGCATTCCGACCACAGGATTGGCGGCATGAACGGCGAACTGAGACAAATGCACGAGTAATGCTCGCGAGATATCAGGTTCTGAAATAGCCAAATTCAAAGACCCCTTCAGCAGAAGACGGAGCTTGGCGCTGATTGTTCGCCCTTGTGCGGCATCGCATAGGCTGCAAGTGGTTTCTAATATCAGTCAGTATATGACATAGCACTAATGATATGCCACAAAGGCCAAATAGATAGACTGGAGGGGAAGGTGGCATGATGCTGAAGAAAAGAGAACTTACTGCAACCAAGATAGCTGAACTGACAAAGTCATAATGACTATTTAGGTCATCTCCAACAGCTTCATGGTAAGGGAAATGTGTACTCTGTGATGGGAAGATATTCATGTGTATCGGGAGTACACTAAACAAACGAGGAAGGTCTTGGACAAGCTCTAAGGATAGTTATGTATGTTTGATAGAAGGTAAAGATTAGAACAGAGATGGAAGTGGAAGAGTAATCAGAATTGGAAGTGGGAGTGGGAGTGGGGAGGAATTTCAGGATGGAAGAAGAGTTGGAAGAGGAAGAGGAGATGGAGGAGAGACTGGAAGAGGTTTTGTTTAGGCAGGGCTTCAAGACTTGGGATGATGTATTCAATGACAGCCGAAGTAGTGGCTTTGAATTGACTGGATGCGGTCTCATTCAATACAATGTATAGAGCTTAGGTGAATAACGCTCAGCAAGGGCCAGCCTCCTAGATTGGCTGAATACACAGTCTTAGTAAATTGAATCATTCAGTATTACAGTCCAAATGGGTCAAACCTGGCCATGCGGCAAGTTTCTACTACATGGACAAATATTCAATATATGGCTACCTAACGATAAGATTCGTCTATTCAATATTCAGGGTATTGGAAGAACCAGGCTAATGGGCAACCTTCTAATACTATACACCAGGGGAGATTGCCGTAGAGCTAGGGAAAGCTGGTAGAGATTTTATCTTGTATATCCTCTTTTCATGAGCATAAGAGTCTTTGTTGCGCTCAAATGCGGCGCGGCGCATTCTGGAAGGTTACATAGTAGAAATTAGCATACGAAGTAACGTATAATGCCATCTGTCAGAGGTTCCATGGATAGATGCAACTTACAGCACTTAGAAAAGCTCTGCTCTCTGATGGCAGAGACGATTGATGCTATTGACTACATTTCAGGTAAAGCGAGCACGCACTCGAGAAAATCTCTAAGCTTATGTTTGCACACGAGCTCGCGAAAGCTATCTCTATGAGCCATTTCGGGAAGCGGCATTAGGACCGTAATGTACCAGCTTGTGATATACGTAGGGCTCAACCATTGAATGATTTCTACGCAAATTATGCTACCAATCTCAAGAATTAGGTTTTCAATCATGGCTAAAAGTAGATGAAGAAGAAGTATATGCTGCAATGCCAACGCAATCTATCCCACCATAAGACTTAGAGCAGCAACTCCCAGAACTCCCCCGTCGACCTGAAGCCCAACTTCTCATCTTCCTCCGTCGAGACGAGCCGATACCCCTCCTTCTCATACAGCCGCCGCGCCGACACAAGAACACTATTCGTCCACAGCCGAATGCGCGCGTACCCGGCTTCGCGCGCAAACGCCGTGCATTGCTGGATTAAGGCTCGTCCGAGGCCCAGACCCCGTGCGCTCGGTTCTACCAGCAGTAAGCGGAGCTTGGCGGCATTGTCACCGGAGTTTCGGTCGTTGACCAGCATGACGCAGCCGAGGAATTGGTCGTCTCGTTCGGCAATCCAACAACGTTCGCGGGCGGGGTCGTAGTTCTTGATGAAGTCGACGGTGACGCTGGCGACGAGGGCCTCGAAGCGCTCGTTCCAGCCGTATTCTTGGGCGTAGAGCGCGCCGTGCCGGTGGACGATCCAGCCCATGTCGCCGGGGCGGTGATGGCGGAGGGTGTATGCGTTGGTGGTTGTTGAGGTCATTGGGTGTGGTGATCGGTTGCTCGGTGGACAGATGGTTATAGGACAATCATATGCTCGATATGAGGAAATGGTTGTTGGAATGAGGAAAGATAGGGGAATTTGACGGCACAGCAGAAGTGGGATTGTCGACGAGGTATAGATGGCAATTTATGTGAGTCCAGTTGCTGCAGGCCTCGTGGGGCATTTCGGCCAGTTTAAAGTTGGCCGCACGCTAGACCAGACCTGGAGAGAGAGACCCACCCATCTTGTGCTATAGCCAGTCATATGAGCTTCCCGAGCACAAGCGGATTATCTCTCCCTCGATAAAACCAATCGGAAAGAGCCAGCTTCGGCGGGCGTGAACCCGGCCGATTGAAAACTTTTCCCCTTGAGGCACCTCCGCAAATCAGTGGAGTGCGTGGAAAGCAGTAGCTTTGCCAGGCCTCTGTTAGACGATCATGTCATGCAGGCCGGTAATTCGGCGCAGAAATCGCAGGGGTCACTGCAGCAATCACGGAACTTCCTAGGAACCAAAAGACCTGTAGCGTGAGTTTGCCCCTCTCCAGTCGATTACTCCATTCTAAATACCCAAGAACCAGATGCCAGAGATGCCATGCGCAGAAAGTCAAATGCTCGGGCGGGAGACCCTGCTCGCGATGCCACATGGCGGGATGTGGGCACGAATGCAGTTATGTAGTCCGCGACCGAAAAGTCCGCATCGACGAAAGGTAAGGTAGGCAGCTGTTACCGATGCGGAACAGCCCCGCGCTGACCTGCCACCAGTTATCTGGAACAGTTGATTCGAGGCAGTGAAGAGCTTCGTCAGTACCAACTGAGGTCCAAAAGTCATGTCCTTCCTACCCTAGACCAGCAGACTTCTCCAACAGAAGGAAGCGACACGAAGACTCGAAACCCGCTGCTGGAAGACCGGCCATGGTTTCATGCCCATGACGGGCTGGCACTCCCTATCTATGTCAGCGAAGCAGCATGTACAGGGTTTGCCACGCGTCTGTGCCAGTGTCTCGACGGCAACAAAACCGCAGTGCCGCATATTCCCCGCACGCGATATGTGGAGGAGTCAACCCTCGCCCAAATGGCCCATTCTGGAATCCAATGGCCCAGTTTGGCCCGTGCTCGGTTGCTGGTCAACACCGCGCTGGGACACGCAAACCCACCCTTTCATCTCGCCCTGCGAAAGTCCACCCTCGACCATCTCCAACAAATCTACGAGCACGGTCTCTTCAATGATCCGATCTTCCTGTGCAAGTACTTTGCTCTCTTCGCCTTGGGAGAAGTCTACTCATTCCACAATGACGGAGGAGAAAAGGGTACGGTGCCAGGGATGGCGTACTATACTCGCGCCATCAGTCTAATTCCCGTGCTACCGGAGCGACCCACCATCATCTACATCGAGGCTCTCCTCATACTGGTAAGCTCGTCTCTAAGGAGATGCTGTCACCATATACTGACTCTTCCAGGCCCTCTACAGCCAGTCCCTCAACCGACAGCACTCCGCCTATCTCATGGTCGGCAACGCGCTGCGCTTCGCACTCCTCGTTGGTCTGAATCACAACATCTCGGTGACCCAATGCCCCGATCCGATTGCGCGCGAACATCGCGTCCGTCTGTGGTGGACAATTTACATCTTCGATCGGTCCTGGAGCCTGAAGCTAGGCCTGCCAGTGCAGATCAACGATGAAGCCATCCACGTCGATCTACCCACGAACCTCGACTCCACTACCTACCACGACGAGTTTGTTGACAGCTCATACAAAGTCGCATTCGTCAGACTCGCCCGAATCTCCAGCACGATCATGCGCACGATCTACAGCCGCAGCAACTTCAGCGAGACTTTTCTCCAACGAGAGCAGAAAATACTCCTCGCTCTGCAGCAGTGGACGCAATCCCTACCCGATCACCTGCACCTCCAAACCACCAGGCATAATCCCAGGTGCACCATTCTCATCCACCTCCAATTCAACTACGTAAGGCACCCAATCCTCCCCTGTCCCAACGAGAGCTAACTACCCAACGTAGTGCGTCATCCTCGCCATCCGCCCAGTTCTCCTCACCCTTCTCGACCACCTCTCGCCAATCCCCACCCCCGACGAGCCCGCCATCCCCGCAACCCTCACCGCTCTTAAAGACGCTTGCATCCATTCCGCCCGCCATACTCTAACCATGTGTACAATTGAATGGACGAACGGCGCCTCCTCGACCTACGGCTACGCTTTCGCTCAATACATCTTCACCGCTGCCCTGATTCTGCTCATCTCAATTCTGCTGCCAGGCGGCACAGCGGAGGATCTCGCGTCCGTGGAAACCGCCATCGAGATGTTGAGCTCCTTGGTCGCGAACGGCAGCCTCGTCGCGGATGACCTGTTCCATCATCTTGTGCGGGTGCAGTACTGCCTTCGGAGTGGACGATTTGCATCGCGGGTGGCGAAGCAGCGAGGGTTGTCGCTGTCCGTCGCGTCTCCGGCACATTCCCCATTTCCTGCGATCCTCTCATCTGATGGACAGGCTGATTATCTCCCGAGTACGGGTTTGTTCGATGCTGCGGGCGCAGCGGCGGAGTCAGCGTACACGGTGCTGGACCAGCCGCTCATGCAAGACTTCTTGACGCAGGAGGTCGGGGAGCTTGGGTTGTTTGATGCGGGGGAGATGGCGGGGATGGGGACGGATCTCTGGCCTGGATTGCCGCTGTGGGCTGCTTGGTGACTCTTGAGAGTTGACAGAGGTCCTGAGACCTCGTTGCCGGGGCCGCTCACTGTCCGCCTCGCTGCTCTGTAGCAAATTTCTCAAATAGTCTTACATAGCTCAAGTCATTCATCATCCGCATCCGCCTTGCAAGAGTAGGAATTCCGTTTGTGAGCACCATACTGTGTTGGCTGGTGGCTGAGTCAGTCCCGAAAGCCCTAGGGTAACTCGTAAGTGCATCTGCAGTTAAACAAGTCATCTTTCGGTGCCAATTATATAGTATGCCAAAATTATTTATTCATCTAACCAAGTAAGCAACTCAAAAATGCATCAGAAAAGACTCTATCTAGCCAAAAGTGATGAAGAGATCTGTAGTCTATCGTCGATTACATTTGCAGGCGGTGGCCGCGGTACTTCCGTGGCTCGTGGGAGAAAGTGCTGACATCAGCATCGGTGCGCTCAGGGAAGCCCTCGAACGACCGTGCATATGTCGCAATAGAATGGGCCACGAGCTATAAGATGTCAATTATAATGAAACACTGCCAATCGCAAAGAGACGTACCTTGGTGTTAACCTCCCAGGCTGTAAGGTTGACGTTCGAGACATCATCTCCAATCTGATGGTAGTTAGGGTCGTACCATTCTCCAGCTTTACCACCGAACATCTCTTCCTCTTCCTTGGTCTTAACACCTTCTGCGCCGGTGGCGACACCGCCTCCGGGAATGCCACTGCGAATAAAGGCGTCGTAGTCGCTGCGGCCATCGAAAGGGATATAGGTGTAGTTGAGGTCGTGTGCTTCGTAGAAACCAACATACAGGTCACGTAGCTCCTCCGAACCCACCGGATTGACGGCGTTAGTGGCGTTGTAAACCTGATACGCGAGATTTGGGCTAGCTAGCATGTCGAAGTCCATGAACCCTCTAATCTTGCGATTCTCCTCCGGGGTCAGCTGGCTCACATAGTAATCACTACCCAGGAGACCTTCTTCTTCGCCAGCCCACCAAGCCAGGCGCACGCAGTTGTTGACGCTGAACTGGCTGAGTTTTGTTGCCAGTTCCAAGAGAGTTAGAGTACCAGAGCCGTCGTCGTTGATACCGGGGCCTTCGGCTACACTGTCAGTGTGGCCGCCAGCCATGATACAGTTTTCCTGATCTCCTTCGACGGTTTGAGCGATAATGTTTGTAGTGATGATTGTCTCCACAATGCCGTCAATGTAGGCAATGCCATCCACCTTCTCGCCCTTCTTCAACTGCTCGAGGATAGGTGCCGCATCGCTGTCCGAGATGCCAAAAGTGGCAACATGGTCTGGGGTGGGAGTACCCAGAGTCCCGGAGAGATCACCCTTTTCGTTGTTGTACACCACTGCAGCGATTGCACCTGCTTTGCCAGCCAGGTCGGACTTGGTTCCGAACGGACAAGTGCCCCGAGAAATGAATGCAATGGCACCAGTAAGATTGTCAGGGTAGTCGGATTCCTCGCATCCATGGTTGGAAACTGCCACCAAGGGACCGTAGACAGGCTCTCTGTCTTTTGTGGGAGGCGTCAGCCCCATCGGGGTAGCTGAGGAGGGCACCGTGTGGCCGAGGACGAGGCGCGACTCGAAGACATTTCCGGTCACCGCAGGAAAGGACTGATTGGTGATAGTGTAGTAGTCGCCGAGCTCGACAAGGGTGGAGTAGATGTAATCTAAGGTTCCGATGTGACCTAGCAAAATGAAGGTTAGTAGGTGAGTCACACGAGCAGCGGGGATGAGTTGGGTGCGTACCTTTGCTGCCAATGACACGGGTTGGGTGCTGATATTCCTCCTCTCCGAGCTTTGCAATCTCGTAGAGCTCCTCAGCTCTCTTGAGCAGATTCTCTGCCTTGACTTGTGCTTGCAGCAGCTCAGAGTCGATGAGCTGCTTGCTCGATGTAGAGAGCTCGGACTGCGACGGGGAAGCTTGGAACAGGGGCAATTGAAGTGCTCCGGCCGGCCCAAGAAGGGCAGGAAGAAGAGAGAGCTTCATAATGAAGCTCAAGTCAATGTTCAGTATAATAATAAGGTCGATTGGACAAAGAGGGAGTGACTGCAGAGGAAGAGGAAGAGGAAGAGATAGGTAGCCGAGGAGGTTGGGGACAAACAAGCTGGGGACGGGGGATGGGGGATGGTCAGCTGATAAGCGATAAGATAAGCCCCGTGACCTCCAGATCGGGCATTGGCGGACTTTCTAGATTCGGTTTAGCTTGTTGCCTCACAACAATAGCAGCTCACAATAGGTGGATCCGAGTCGATGATGACATCCACTGCAGCAGCACACCTTTGCTCTTCCACTATTCGTGAGCACTCCCATTATGACTTCGAAATTTAGCCAGATGTAGAGAATTGATCGGATTCTCAACGAGGATAATATCCCGAATCTTCATGCACGTCATTGTCACCCTGTCACATCCGCCTACTAGTGCTTATAAATAACCGCGGTCACACAC